CAAACTACTGGCACTATTTCTCTGAAAATTTGCATACAGCGTTTATCCGAGGTGCTCGTTTCAGCTAAAATATTTTCAGTGTTCTCCAACTTCCGATTACACCAGAAATGGACCCCAACTTCGTTATTTTAAATGGAATGTATCAATTTTTATTGAATTTTCAAGATCCCCAATAAATTTTAATATAATTTGATATAAGTCATCATAAATATGTCTAGAGTGGATTATTAGAGTGGACCATTTATGGATTATTTCAGTTTTTTCGAAAATTATGGCAGATGCAACCCTTCACAATAAAAGTAATTTTTCGAAATTACACCCGAGTCCGGCCAAATATTCTCAGGGTTTGCACAGAGAGGACCCATAGTTTACATAACCCTTGAAAATTTTTTTAAATAATTATACACATTGGTCAGAAATTTTCCCCGAATTTCCCTATCTTGAAAAGTCGAAAACATAATTTTTTTAAATGGCAACCCTAATTTGGGGGTTGCTTTTCAAGTATTATGTAAGCTATGGGTCATCTCTGTGCAAACATTGGGAATACTTGGCCAGGCTCGAGTGTAATTTCGAAAAATTATTTTTATTGTGAAGGGTTGTATCTGCCCAAATTTTCGAAATGACTGAAATAATTGAAAAATGGTGCACTCTAGACATATGATGACTTTATCAAATTGTATTANAAAAGACATTGTGTCCGAAATCAAATGCACTTCTGAAGGAGTAGTAGATGTGGTTGGAGGTCTTAAATTTGTTGAGTAGTTTGCATGAACCATTGGTTGGGGTTGTGGGTAATGATATTGTTGGGACCCAAAAAAAGGTTTGTCGTATTTTCCCATTTCCGCCTCAAAGAGAATGTTAGTTATTATGTGTTGTACCATCGAGCATGAGGGCATGGTAATTTCCTGACTTTGATGGCAATCTGCTCGCCAAATATTGCGAACTCATCTTTTTCCTGCTTCTTTGTGTTTAATGATCTTAAAATGTTCATGGCTTCATGTAGTACAGGCGTAGTAGATGGAGATTCTCGTTTTCTTTTAAAAGATCTACTTGAAGATGATGTAGAAGATGCAGGTGTAGGTGGATTCTCTTCTGTTGGTGCATGTATTGAATTTTCTTCTATTGTCTCATCTTCTTGTTGAAGTGTTTCCTTAATCTGAAAGAAATTTTTCGTTACAGATGCCAAAAAATGAAAGAGATTGGGAGATTATAGCCCGAGAGTTCCAGGATAAATGGAACTTTCCACATTGTGTTGGTGCAATGGATGGGAAGCACATAACTCTACAAGCTCCTCTGAATAGTGGTTCCGATTTTTTTAACTACAAGTCATTCTTCAGCATTGTACTATTTGCAGTGGTTGATGCAAATTACAACTTTATATATGCAAACGTTGGTTCTCAAGGAAGAATATCAGATGGTGGCGTATTTAATGCAACACATTTCAAGAAATGTTTTGAAGAGAGCACATTGAATCTGCCTTCAGCCCTAGTTTTACCGGGACGGCACGTGGAAGTTCCATTTGTCTTTGTTGGGGATGACGCTTTTCCACTATCATGTAATATTATGAAACCTTTTCCGGGATTACAAGACAAAGGATCTAAAACAAGGATTTTTAACTATCGATTAAGCAGGGCAAGAAGGGTTTCGGAAAACGCGTTTGGAATATTGAGTTCAGTTTTTCGAATACTAAGAAAACCTATATTATTACAACCGGAAACAGCAACGAAAATAACATTGACTTTAATACATTTACATAATTACTTAAAGAAAAATAGATCAAAAAATCTTTACAGCCCCAAAGAATGCTTTGATTTAGAATCTACGGATACTGGAGATATTACTCCAGGATTATGGAGACAAGATGTTGCGCATTTCCAAATGATGAGTATTCCAAAAATACCTCGAAGGAGCACAAATGCAGCACAAGCTGTGAGAAACGAGTTTAAGGAATATTTTAATTCACCGGAAGGAGATTTACCATTTCAGCGCAAGCACAACTAATAAATTATTTTGTACTCTATACACTTAGTAAATATAAAATTAACTTATCTCTGTATCTCTAGTTTTTTTTTGGTTTATTTCTATCCCTAAGAAATTCCATACTTTTATAGGCAAACCATTTGCTTTTATAGGAAGAATCTGAACCAGCGCCAGACTTATTACATTCATCTTCTTTTTTAATTTCTCTTGAAAAATGGCTCAATAAATTTTTAATTTTTCTTTCAACTTCAGTCCTTTCCACTCCAAATGAAACAGCAATTTCTAAAAGCGCATCATGCCTCTTATTTTTATTCTTATAATCTGCTGAATTGCAATCCCATAGATTTGTACGCTCGCGGTACATATCAATAAGAATTATTGTATCAGAATTGGTCCACTCCATGTTGATTTAAACTCTTAATGAATTGGTAAAAATGATGTGTCGGTGGTCAGTACGTACACACTACTCGCATCGGCCCGGTTTTCTTTGATAAAAACCGACAAGAGTCGGGTTCGAATCGGCATGCCGGTCTGCTGCAGTCTGCTGATCGGCAAGGCCGCATAGGATGTCCCCACCACTGTGGATTTGCCGGTCGGCATTGCCAATCGGCATAGTGGAGATGCACCTTTCCAACAGCGTTGACGAAATGTACGCGTACACGAACGTGTCCATGTACGAACATGCGCAGAAAAAAGTCCTGTACTAGTCGTGTACGCGTACACGACGCGTCAAATTTGTGCGGTTGAAACGAACCTATTATCTTTTATACAAAAAGAATGATACACGTTGTTCTAGTCTAGTCACTCTTAGGGTAGGCACACACGGTCATGTATTATTCATCGACAAAACAGTTTAGTTGGATTGGTTTGAAATCGCAATGCATTATCAATTTATAACCGACTAAACTGTTTAGTTGTTCATAAATCGTGTTGTATGCACACACATATCAATTTCGAAACAACTTGTATTTATATTGTATTGAATATTGAATAATACCTGGAAATAATTCAAATTTTTAAAATAATGTAATTGAATTACTTTAATATACAGTGATATCCGATTTGCTACCGCAGTTAATTATATACTACACTAAATACAGTGTGCTAATTAATTATCGTACCCGACGTCATCATTGCAAGTATGCAACCAATATCACAGTGCAATACGCAGCATACGCAAATCGTGTATTGCAATACCAATATTGTGATAATGGTTGCATACTTTCAATGATGACGTCGGGTACGATAATTAATTAACACACTGTATTTAGTGTAGTATATAATTAACTGCGGTAGTAAAACGGAAAATAATTTAACTTAATTTTTGATATAAATTCATTTATCATCAAATAATTGAGAGAAACTGAAGTAGTAATTGATTTATGTTATACTAGAGAAGACACTTCCACTCTCACTAAAGTTGCGCGCGCAACGTAAATTACTAAAGACCTCAACTAAACTATCAACTGTGTGTGCGCTTCAATATGAAGCTGTGGCATTATCGCAGTTGTACGATAGTTGCATAACTTTTTAATCATAAGTGCACATCGACTCCTTTTGATTAAAAAATCGAGTTGATCTTCAATGGCGTCATACACGATTTTTTTTTATTATATTTTCTGAAAGTTTATATAAAAATATAGTTACCGTTTTTTTTTTTAAATATTTTCGAACAAAATCATTGTTAAAAAAATTGTTGAAAATTTATATACCCATTTGCGCTTAAAATTTTTCAACGGCAGTATATTCTACTTAAAAACGTGTCTTAAGAAGGTATCAACCCCATTTCTCTAATTTCAAAAATAAACGAAATATGAGCATTTTTGAAATAACGAAAATTTGACTTTTTGGCTATAACTTAAAAACAAAAGAAGATAGAGGTTTGGTTTTTGCGGGATTGGGTTAGTCTCGAAAAAAGAGACCGGGACATGGCACCTACTTTTTTCGTATCTCTTATAGTTTCTGAGATAGCCTATAATAACACCCAAATTTGCCCACCCTGTACANTATTCACCAATTTTCTCTTAAGCAATTCACTCTTGCTCAATATCCAAGGGCAACTAAAATTATTTTACAAATAATTTAATTTAATAATTTATAGACACATAATATACATATACAGCGATGGCCAACTAATTAAGGAAAGTGGACACGAAAATTACTTAGGACTTTTTTCGCAATTTCTGTTCGAATTGCCATGTGACTGGTTCTTCTGCAGTCAAGCATGATTCTTGTAAAATATCTTAGTATTGACGTTGGATTAATACTCCATCAATTGGCCTTTTTCATGGGTTTAAAATGCATCTAGGGTTAAATCTTTAGCGGGGAGGGCGCGCATGAATCTTTTTCCATCAGAATCTAACTATCCAATGTCAAAGTTGTCGGGCAATCTAAAGCNTAACAATTAAAGTCCCTAGATTTACAAAGTACCGCGGTTTGACGCCATTTTGGCTCGAAAGTCAAGCGGGAAATTTAAAACTACAAACCAAAACATTACGCCAAATTTCCATTCTTTTTTTCTCGTGGTACTAAGAGTCGAAACTCCTTTTTACTGCCGTTTTTGCAACTCCAAAGGCAACAAGACGGCAATATTTTTGTAAATAAATGGTGATATGCAGTGACAATCTGTCAAACCGCCATTTTGGCTCGAAAACAGGCTTCATGAACCGCGGTACTTTGTAAATCTAGGGACTTTAGTCACTCTCGACGTATTGCGACATCTATATTTTCTAACTATAACTAACTTACTACAGGCCTGGGATCAGTGTTGTTAAATACCCGGGTATTTATTTTCAAAGGAAAATTCCCTGGATATATATATATATATATATATATATTATAATAATTTCAATTTTTTTGTGCCCCACGTTCGAGTGACAATTTTATGTGTTGATTTTGGTGGGCCTTACGTTTTGGTGCCAATTTGTAGCGTTAANTATTACTGTACAAAAGTAAATTATACAATTTGTTTAATTTATTTTTGTCCTTATTTAGTTGTTAGACCTTTGAAAGGTGTCCGTTACGGAAACAAAGATCAAAATTGCAATTGTCCACTTATCAATTCCCATGATAGCTACAATTATAAATCATGATTGTGCAATTCTAATATTTGCTTTTAAAATCGACTAAGATTTTTTGAATCGTGGGAAAAATGTTTGAATATTTAAGATTAACATGGTTGCCCCTAATCAGTTGACTCCCTCTGTACATAAACTGTTGACGCATTGATCAAAATGTTGCACTGCACATGAACACAGTTTCTAATTCTGCGTTGGAAGGAAACCTTTTCCAAACAATTCGTCGTTTTCACGAATCATCTGATAACCGTGTTCTATTCAATGGCGCAATCTTTCAGATTGTTCACAAGTGTCACGTAAACTAAACTTTTTAAATAGCCCCATAAACAAGTCTACGTTATTCAAGTCTGGAGATCGTGCGGGGCACACAATACGACCGCTTCGCCCTATCCATCTCCTTGGAAATCTGTTGTTTAGATGTTCCACAACAGCAAGCATAAAGAGCGGCGGAGCTGCATCCTACATAAACCGTAGTTTTTTTCCGATTTAACGGTAAGTCTTTCAAAAGTTCAGGAAGAGTGTTTTCCAGATAATTAATCTGCTTTAGACTAAAAGGCTGTTGATGTCTGGTTTTAACGATGGCTCGAGGATTCTCGTCAGATCACACGATTATTATTATTATATTATAAGTTGAATATTCATTTCTGGTAAAAATAGCTTCATCAGTGAACAGAATGTTAGTGAAGAAGTCAGTACAGCATACAACAGCTTCTCGTAAAACCCTTTGACAGAATGTCGATCTTGCGTAATAATCCGGAGGAGTGAGGGTTACCACACGTTGGATGTCGTCATGGTAAGTTAACTGCTTATGGAGATTTTTCCAAACAACATGTGCGCTTGCTTGTACCAATTTGTACCCAAATTCTTCTCACTCGATTCGGGATTTTCATCCACTGCATTTAAAATTTGTTCCTCTCTGGCATACATATGGACTTTGCCCATCCGCTATCATACCATATGAAGGCAGTCATGTTATGACATGCACTCAAAGTATTCCTATTGGTACGACCGTATATGAACACCATATCGACCATTTGAATAGACCATTGTTAATGACTCAAATTTTATAGGGGAAGCAAGAAAGTTACAAAGATAAGTTATACAGGTGTCCTGCAACGATTGTACAATACTGCATCAGCGTATTCTCTGATTGAAAATAGACAAAAAAAGGCTAATAAACATAAGTCCGAAAATGGACCACAGTTCATTAATAATTTAACAAAACAAGTAACAAAGGTTGTCGAAGAAAATCTTTCAACCAGCATAAAAACAACGAATATTTAACAAATTGGAAAATAATCAAGTCATAATAAGTGTTCAATATGCGCACCATTTACCTTTAAACAGAAACGGATACGTTTTTTAAATGAACTTCTAATGCGTTCAAAGATACCGGGAATTTGTTTTACTGCGTCAAAAGCATTACTAATTTTATTTTTCAAACCCTGCACATTTTGAACGCCTTCAGAATAAACTACTTGTTTTAAATGTCCCCAAAACCAAAAATCTAACGGATTTAAATCTGGTGAACGAGGTGGCCACGGGACAGGACCTCCTCGGCCAATCCACTTATTGCCAAATCTGTTATTTAGGTATGCTCGAGTAGCGCGTGCATAATGTGGTGGTGCTCCATCGTGCATAAAGTAGCAATCTTCTAGAATTTGTTGAGGTAATTCATCAAACGCCTCTGTAAGCTCATTTTGTAAAAAATGTATGCAAGCATCGGCTATCAATATCGTTGGAAGAAAAAATGGACCTAATAACTGATCTTCTATAACTCCAGCCCATACATTAACACTGAATCGCCACTGATGATGAGTTTCTAGTATTGCATGGGGATTTTCATTACTCCAAACGTGCGCATTATGAATATTAAAAATTTCGCTTTGAGTAAATGTTGCTTCATCCGTAAAAATGTTTATGGGAAAGTCGACGTTTACTACCTCTTCCTGTATGGCCCACCTACAAAAATCTTTCTTTTAC